TAGACAATGACCTGTGAACTGCGTCGGGCGCTCGAGGATTTTGGGCAGTGTCGTTGTTCTTTCCCACTTCTGCCCAGGGGGAAAGACTGGCTCCAACACTGGCTCTAAAACTTTTCATGAAGTAAGCATAAAATGCAAATTACATGTTTGTGTGTATATGGATAATGTAAAGACGGCATTCCTGCAGTATCTCATTATGGACAGCATCATTTTCAAACGGATGGTCGAGGATGGACGGCTTGAATATCTTTGGTTGAGAGAGAACTCCAGTGGTTGAAAGATGAACGTAGCGGAGGTCTGCACAGGAAAACATGTGAGCAAACAACAACGTTGCATAAAGTTTCAGGCAGCTTTCTAAACCCAGTGTGCAGCTGTTGTACGTGTGTTTATCTCAGCGAGTAAACGACCTGTCGGTCGTTGCCACTCGCAGCCTCGGACGCTGGCAGATGACAGTTGTGGAATTTGATGATGGATGCGAGGAGGGCGTCTTTCGGAAAACCAGTGATTTTAGAAAACCTCCAGACACAGCCACAGAGAGTGACACCAGGATGACTGTCAATTCTATTTTGGGAGACCTTTGTATACACGGTGGATGAATTCAACACCCCCACTTTTTTTTTCCACCACACACAGTGTCCTTTATTTTGTGGATGCAATAATCTGTTTGCTGCAAAGCATGAAAGGAAACGGTGGAGTTAATGAAATATCATTCTGTGAATTTTATCCCAATTTCTGAATCTGGAAAAACAGGTTTTTGCTCTTCAGTGCTGGTTTTTATTGTTTGTTTTGTTTGTTTGCATCCAGTTCTGGAATCACGTGTCAGAGAAATAATAAACCCAAGGGTCCAGTGGAAACTTTCCTCTGTGTCGTCTGCAAACTTCATCCATTAGAATAAAAACTGCACCTGAAAACATTGATTACAAAATGATATTTCAGTATTATCTTCACTACATCACCACCACGTCCAGAATCTACGTCAATCTCCACATATTTATTCTGTTGGACCTGTTTATGTGTGAGGTCGTTTTCTGCCCGTGGTCGTGCCCACCTCAGGGCGCCATTATAAACAAAGCCGTAGCCCTGCCTGGCGTCTGGCGTCAGGCCACTCGAGGGCGAGGGGGCGAGGCCAGCTGCGCTGCGAGCGCCGGGGTCGGTCTTCTGTCGCCTTATTGTCAGCTTCTCTCGCTCGTTAAACTGTCCCTCACACCCTGACTGTCCCCTACAGCCACACACACACACACACACATACATGTAAACACACATTAACACATGACTGCATGTGCGTGGTGCAAGCAGCCACCTGCGTACTTACACACACACACACACACATCGCGGTTATTACAGCCGCTGAGAGTCAGGTTGCAGGGTAACGTGCACCCTGAGCCCAGGTGGAGTACTGTAATGTGTGTTGTAACATTACTGCAACAATACACCCCCCCCACCCCCTCACCCCCACCCCCACCCCACCCCTCACCCCCAAACCCTCAGCAAATGCACAACACACAAGCGTATGAGCACTCCACATTCCTCCACATTTCACTTTCTCTAAAAGACGCATTTCCACACACCCCGCCGACAGCCGAACCTCTCCAGCGTCTGCAGCTCACAATTGCACAAGTGATCCGCGGGTCAGAGGTCTGTTATTCCAGTGAGAGAGCCAGCTGAGCGGCCAGCAACAAGCCGGGCTCCACGGGGGGTTTGTGCATGTGTACGAGTCCGCTAACTCGGGCTAAGCCTCTGCGACACGATGTGTATTTTCGAACATTAGCAAGAGCGCCTTCGCTCTATTTTTGCATCGCAGCGACAGTGTTTGTATCCGAACCCTCCTCTGCCAGTAACCCGGCCCACGGTTTATAATTCAGGCATTAGCGTGTCTCTTCGCACAGGACCCAGGGGCCACAGTGAGAGTATGAAAACGACATTAAGCCACGCAGATCACCTTTCACCCCCCTACCCCACCCCTCCCTTGACTCTCCTGAGCGGTGCTGCAGGGTCGGGGAGCTCCGCGACGCTGAAACCTTATCGCCATGTCGTTGTTTTGGGGGACAATGGCTGCTGGTTAAGTATGGGGCAAAAGGTGTACAGTATCTCAGCGTATCTGCCCCACGGTGCCTGTTCTCCGGCCGAGAGACAACGCTCACAGAATGGCCTGAAATATGTCGAACATCGGGAGCACTTGCCAAAGCCATAAATCTTCCAAAAGATGAATGTGTGTAAAGGAATGAGAAAAAATTTTGGAAAACAATTGGACTGCGTTTCATTTTAGGGTTCACATGATTATAATTAGGCCTGAACAATTAATCAAATATATATTCAAATTACAGGAGCTGCAATTTTTTTTAAACAAGGGTGAAATGTGTCACAACAGGCCGCAGATGAAGCAGATAAATCATGTTCTGCATGTTCTATTTTTATATTTTTATAAAATGAAATAAAAAAACCTTTTCAACAGAAATCATGACTCGTATCACAATATCTGCCAAAATAATCACAACATGATCTCTGTCAGATTTGCGTTGTTTTGTTTGTCTTGTCCACTTGGCATGAAAGCTTATTGTGAAAGTCTGCCAAAAACAAGCTGTTGTGTCAGCTCTGTGGTTGTCAGTAGAGGCTGGTATGATTTTAAAAAAGATATATATTAAAGGTCTGTCTTGAAGTTTATGCGAGACTTAAACTTTCTTGAAGAACCTGTTTGCCTCCGTGACGGTGTCGGCGTGGCGTCCTCTCAAGCTCCCTCGTCTCCACGCCAAGAAACAGCCAAGGATAACAGCGCTTCAAATGAAGCTCGTCAAAACAGCCTTTCCGCTGTCCAATTTCATTGCCTTGATCCTCGCGAATACCTCAGCGGAGGGATTGCAAGACCTTTTCAGTTCAGTTCCCCTCCTATCGTCCTGCTCCGCTTCAACAAACACCCCCAAAGTCCTGTTTGTTTGCTCTGAAAACAGTCGGCCTGGGGACTGTTTTTTGAGCCGCGTGGCAGAATCTCCGCGGTGATGATGTCTCTATCTGCCCCAGTTTTGAGAAGTTCTTCGTATGTGCTCCCGTCCTGTTCCGAAAGCGCCGACAGAGGGTTATTATTATGGGTCATATTTCAACCTGAATTTCGTGGGTAGAGGTGTGTAACGCACACGCCGACGTCCACATCAGAGACTCATCAATCATGTCTGAAGAGGAGATGTTTTCCTCCGCCTCGGCTCTCCGGCTCAAACCTTCATTTTCTTCCGACGTGTCCTTTTCTTTATCCAATTTCCAAATCAACTTCAGTCCCGAGCTATCGTTCCTCATCCGGTTTTCAACTATTAACAGAGTAATTCAGTGCAGATCAGCTGGCTGCACCATCTTTTTATGTGTTTGGCATGAAAAAACATCCAACCTTTCTGCCAGGTTTCAATTTCCTCCACATTTTCCCTGCATTTGACTTAACCATTGTCTCTCTCGCTGCAGCCACTGGCCTTGAGGACATTTAATTTAACCAAGGTTTGTCGCTGCATGCCTGTCAGTCCGCCAGGTTTCTCTTTTGCCTTTCCTCTTCTTCGTGCAGGCCTCTTGTTGGTCTCAGCTACGTGACGTCACCGAGAAAGAAACTTTTTCCGATTTATGACTCCACCATTGTTCTCTTCATCTTCAAAGCTTGCACTAAACAAATGATGCAGCATGTTTCATGCAAACCACAAATAATGGCCTCGTGAACCAGGGAGTCCTTAAGGTAGAGGCAGAGGGAGATCATGAGTCTGCAAGTGATTAAAACCAACTTTGATGCAGTAACATCACTTTTTTTTTTTAGCCTCTAAGTCACAAACAAAAGGCTATAACCGAGGTCACGAACATGTCTGTGTAAAGTCAGGTGTTTCCTGCTAAAAACTGTATACACTAATGGCACAGCGAGGCACCCACCGGTTGTCATAACCATTGTACCTGTAATCACCCTGCTCCTTGTGACTCCCACTCAGGAGGTCATCATCCACTGAAGCTGAGAAAACAACAGAGAGCTCAGGTCCGGTCAAGCGGCCGGGTCAAGGACCTTAAAGAGCCACAAGAGGCCCGCCACCCTGTGGGTCATTAATAATTAATGAAACCTGAGGCTGGGACAGGAGGCCATGACTAAACACAAGAAAGAGCCAAAGTGGTGAGAGGGCAAGCCTGGGCAGTAAAGGGAGAGAGAGAGAGAGGCAGGAGGAGGGGGGGTGTGGGGGTATTGATAGAGAAAAGAGCGCTGAATCCAGCTCTGGCTACAGTCCGTGCTTTCACTGTATGCTCCAAAGGCTCCAGACACAACAGTCTGCACAACCCAGCGACGTTTGAAAAAAACCAAAGAGCGGAGCTCGGAGTGACAGATTTTTCGTTTTTTAAAACTCAAGAGAGGAGATGGAGGTAGAGAAAGAGGAGGGTGGATAAAAGGAGCAACAACAAAAAAAAAAAAAAAGAAAGAAAAAGAAAAAGAAAGTGGGGTTGCCCAGTTGGACAGAGAAAAAACGAGTTCATGGAATGAAAAACAGCATGAAAGTCTCCTCGCTGTTTCCCATGAAATCCTGCCATCCACTAACTTCTCCTCAACAAAGCGTGTACTTGCCCTAGAGGTAATATCACGCCGAGACCTCCATTACGAGCGCTGCCTGATGAAAGAGGAGCTAAGGGGGGCTTAGGAGGCTTGGCTCTTAACCCTCCCCCATCGAGCCCGATATGAAAGAAGATAGTTCAACATGATATTATATAACAAGTGCTTTTTGGGGGGGGGGGCTGTTCTGTTTTGACACAATGATCCAACCTTGCTGATGAGTCCCAGAAAGTACAGTATGTCCAGCACCTACAGTTACAGTACCGACCTACTTCCTGCTTGCTTCAGATCATTAGTTTGCTCATTTCTAGTGCACTTCTTCCATAGGACGTTTATACAGATGTTGAACGCTGACAGTTGCTGATGTTCTCCTTGTGTCATGTTACTGTCGTGCCCGCCACCAAAAACAAATAACAATCCCCCGATGCCTGTGGTTTCTTTGCAGAGCTCATCCGACGACTGCGACCCACACGAGGGGATCCACGAAGGGAAAGAGGGCAAGTACCGCCTGCAGGTGACCCAGTTCGTCCAGAGGTTGGAGTACTGGCACAAAGAGCTGACGAACACCTTGGTCACATCTATCAATGTGGTTCCAGTCCATGGCCGAGCAGTGGCGTTCCTGGGCACCGCCGACGGACGCCACATACAGGTAAATCAGTCACCTGTCGTCATTTCTAAAAGTGAAGGCGCTTCATTTGCATGTAAAACACCAGCAGTTATAGGCACAAACACACAGAGACCCTGAGGCGCAGTTTTTCCCTCTGTCATTGTTCATGTAAATGTGGCAGGATGTTGGTACGTGAGGAGTGAGAGCGCATTGCTGGAGACACAACATAAAGTCCTCTGCAGGTGCCACTCTGTGACCAAGCACCGGGACCTTTCTGTTTGCACAATTTGCTTTCCTTTTCCTTTGACCTGTGCTCAGCGGCCTGCCAAAAAAGCCCATGTTCCAGTCTGCCATCTGAGCAAACACAGTCTATTTTGCCTGTCAATGTGCAAACCAACAGTGGATTCCACCAGAACTGACGGCTTTTTTAGCTGCTTCCAACGTCTCACACACGACCTGTCACTGCCGCCTCTTCAGCTGTAGGGGGATTTGAGTTGTGGGATCAGTGTGGGGCAGTGACTGGAGGCTGCTGGTGTTCCTGCACTCTTGTTTTATCTGGGTTAAAAGGGCAGTCTGAGAGAAAACATGGCTGCTTGTGTGTCCTCAAGAATCAGACCTGTAGCACAGAAATCTCCTCAGGGGGCATTGATTGAATGATCCACATACATATACAGGAAATTCACAAAAGGTTAAAGCACCTCAACTATATAGAGCGGTCCATTGGTTTGCACTGTTGCTTCATAGCAAGAAGGTCCTGGGTTTGGACCTGCCAGCCGGCCGGGGGCCTTTCTGTGAGGATAAGTGGTTAATGATAACGAATGAATGAATGAATGAATCCAACAACGTGTGAACATCAAACACTAACTACAAAGATGGACTTTCCTTAGATCATCTGCTCTCCTCCATTTCGCTTCCTTCCTCTGAAAAAGGTTATGGGTTTTTATTTTACATCATGATATGCATCCTTGAACACTGGTTTAAGTCTTTTTTTTTAATTGCACCTCTTACATAAATAACCACTGTCTGAAGCTTGTAATTTATAGTTTTTGCAAAGAGTCTATATAGTCTTGTCAGAGGCCGGTCTTCCCTCGGCTTCGAAATTAGCTCTGATTTTGTAATTTGCAGACGTTGAGGTTAGAATTAGGCTAAAAGGTCTTTCAAACATAGTCATTTTGAAAAAAATAAAAGCTTGTATGTAATTTAAAATCTAAAAAATAAAGTTCTCTTTTCAACCAAATTTAGCACAGTTTTATGTCTAGACACAAAAACCCCTCCGTCAGTGTGAAGGGGGAATGTTTTTCATCTGGCACATGAAATGATTTTGCAGCCTTTGGTGCCAGTGCACCTGCAGTTCAAATGAGCATTTGGCTTGTTGTAGGTCCATTAGTTGCATTATGTTGTTTTGAGGAGTCATCGGGGTGAAATATAGCATTTTGGCATTCATCTTAATTAACTCAGCATGACTAGCCAGTGTGGCTGCATCTCAGACTGTGACTCACCCCAGTCACTTTCCCTCCCTTTTTCATGTGAGGTTTTGTCCATCCACTCTGCCAGTGCAGCTGCATGCAGTGGCTGCTGCAGCTGCAGAGCAAAGTGCAAGTAAAGCGAGGCTGCACTGGTGCTTTTGGGGGGGGGGGGGCTGTGGCGAATGGAATGAAACACATAAAGTAAAAGCTGAATTACCTCACGTGTTTTTGAAACACAAGAATGAAAAGACATGCGTGGAAAAAAAAACAGCAAGAGAGACGTGGAAAAAGGGGCCGACAGCTGCAAGGAAAGGGAGGGAGGGAGGGAGGGAGGGAGGGAGGGAGGGAGGGAGGGAGGGATGGAAGGAAGGAGGGTTATGTTAGGATGGTGGAATAGTGGGGGGGAGGGCGAGAGGGCTTACAAGCTGAACGGCACGTTAATGGTGAACGACGGGCTCCGCTGACACGTTCCCTCGCACGGCATTTTCAACTCGCTTGAGCGTCCCGTGCAGCTGTTGCTGTGTGTTTCTTTACCGTCAAACCCCCCCCCCTCCACTTCCCCCCAATCTCCACTTCCCCCCTCCCTCCCAGGCCCTCCTTCAGTTTTCTTTTTTGTGGTTGGCTGAAGTTCATTGTTTTAGCTGAGGGGTTTTAGAAGGTCTGAAGAGGAGACCAGCTGTCCCTGCACTGCAAAACTCTCCATTTTATCAAGTAACCGTTTCCTAAAAGTCTTACTTTCTCGAAACAGATCAGCCATTTTGAATAAATATCGACTTTTGTTTACTCCAAAATTTGTCTGGAAAAGAGTGGTTGAGTCTTGAGTCAAGAAAGAATACGGCAGGGGTCTGTCTTGATTTTCAGATGTTTTCACTTGTGTTAAGAAAGTCACTTAATAGAGGCAGAAACGACTTGATAAGAGGCATTTTTTACATTGTCAGAGGAGCCAGAGATTTGTGTCAGAATGAATCCAACATCCTAATATTAAGTAACTTTTAGTCATACATAGATTTTGCTAACAATATTAGCAATGTTGATAGCATTATCTTGATAGAAAGACGGACAAAAGACAAAGACAGACAGGACTGGAAGGATCTTACAGGACCTGGAGGGGAAAAGTGAACAGTAATGTCAGGTGCTCTCACTTTTGGTTTTAAAAATAAAAGTGGTGCAAATAAAGTGGATAATTCTGCTAAACTTGTTTACTTGCCCTGTACCTTCAAAATAAATGTGTCGCCTTGTTCCCAGATTGCAGCACTTATACTTTATTGAGTAGATAGATAGATACTTTATTTATCCCCTAAGGGAAATTCATGATGAAGATAGAATTAATGACTAAAGAATATGAAAATAAAAGGTAACCAAATGTGTTTGAAATGTCTTGTCCACTCTCCCTGCTCTGATTTTTCCAACTTGAACTGACGACCCTCCGGCCACCTGCTCTGTCCGTCCAAAGCTGAGCAGCAACAAGAGTCTGTGAGAGACGGGTCGTCTTTGCTTTGGCAGGTCATTTCATTGTTAGTACTATTTAAAAAAAACCACAAAAAAAAAGCCTGTCAACTTTTCATGTATTTCGGTTTCCTGGTGGCTCCCAGCGGACGAGGCAAGAGGGAACACGGGGTAGAGGCAGTGAAAGAAAAAGAGCGCTGTTCCCCTCCATGGACTCCTTTCTGGCTCAGGAAGTGTTTCCCTCGGCTTCAGTCGGGCCACTGTGGGAATAACACAGTGGCCGTGTTTATAGGCCAAACTTCCCCCCGGCCTGCTTAATACAATAAGCTGTAATTTACACCGCTATTACCTCCAGAGAGATGCCTGTTGTATGGCCTCGTCCCCAGAGGAAAGCCACCCATTATACTCGCTGTCACAAAGCTAACGTTGATCATGAGGCTCAAACAGTGGGGAAGCATGACGCTGGAAAACAAGGCATTTTCTGGGGGTGAGGCGAGGAGCAATCGCATTTTAAAAGTTACAATGCAGAGTGTTTTAGGTATTTACTGGATGCTCTTTCACACAGTAACTTACAGTCAACACACACACCATTACTGCCATTCCTGCAGTGTGTATTAGGCTACCTGGTATGTGTGTGTGATTTTGCTCCATTCTGACACAGCAGAAAGATTGTGAGTGTCAGTGGACTATATCTAATTGTGTGTGTGTGTGTGTGTGTGTGTGTGTGTGTGTGTGGGGGTGTATCATAGGGGGAACAGTATAATTTGAAGGGCTTCATGTAACTGGAGCAACCACACACCCCATTAGAGACCCTGTTCTGTTCTGTTTTCTCCCAGGCCTGTAATTGCAGCGAAACCACAAATGATAAACGCTGTTCCAGGTGTGTGTGTGTGTGTGTGTGTGTGTGAGAGAGAGAGAGAGAAACACAACACAAAATGTCAGAGTATGCAGTGCTTCTGCCGATGGCTTGCCTGCCCCAGCAACAGTCTGTCCTGTCGCAACTATGTTTAAAAAGTTCACATCTGGATTGAAAAGTGAGCTCTTAACTTCAAATAGTAAGAAGTTCGTACATATTTACTGGACAGAGACAGTGATATTGTTAAAATATCGATATTTGAGACAGGTGTAAAGGCTGGAGCTGCCGATTACCAGACTAGTTTTATAGCTGTCAAATGCTGCTAACTGCGTGTAATCTAGTGTGGACCATCAAGAGTCTTTGTCATCGTGATTAAAGTAATACACATAATAGAGAGGTCATTGTTAGCTCCACAACATCAAATTTGTGTGTTAAAACAGAGGTAGCATGAAGTGTTTAGTCGCCCAGCAAAAGGCAAAATACTGTATATGTCTTCCAAAAACTGCAAAACTTATTTTCCATGTTGTATCTTGTTAGCTAGCAAGCTAGTCACCAGAACGTCAAAGAGTCAGCTGAGTTAAAGAAGTGTGAAAACCAAGAACGTCATGGTGAGGACAGAAATGTCAAGAAATGCTTGTTGCATCACAGTGTGTTGTTTTCTATTTCCTCACATTTCAAAAATGGACACAATAACGTGTTAATAAGAAGAACTTTGATAGAGCTACAGCTAGCTAGCTGTTTCTGCTTCCAGTGTTGGTAAAGCTAAAGGCTAAACAGGTCCTGGACCCCTTTCTTTACTGAATGCACGGAGATTAAATTGATATTGTTTTCCCATTTAAATCTCAGAGAGCCAACAAAAAGGGAAATTTCCAAAATGTCAAATATAATAGTGTTTACAATACAATTTACTTTCAAAAGCCCTTGTTGGAAAATGATGGGAAGTTAGTAAAATAGTTAGTAATTGTAAAATCTGACAAAAACTTCCTGTTAAATGACAAATAATCAGGGTTGCTTCTAAACCAGCTCGAGACTTTTGGCAGGGCGGACATTTTGACTTGTCAAAGAAAGGTTTAACTAATTAATAATGGCTGCGTTCCAGTTTTCTGTATTAGAGCAAGAGCCCTGCAGGCTCACTGGCGTGCCGTGCCGACACAAGAGCAGACACATCTTAGTTACACCTGTACTATTCCTTCTCGTGATAATTCAAAATGTCTACAGTGAGAAAGCCCTTTTCTTAACCTTGACTGTGGACAAGACACCACACTGTAATGGACCTCGCTAAAAAACAAAAACAATTCTACTCTCCACAATGGATCCATTAAAAATAAGACAAACACCAGTGAAGGAATTACCCGGGGAAAGATGACACAATCTGGATCGTATTTTGCTGGTTCGGTGCCAAAAATCGTATTAATCTCTTCTAGTTTTTCATCCCTTTGGTTTGGATTGTGTTCAACATTGTGAAGCGTTCCAAATAAACATAGCAGCAATGAAAACCAGCGGTGACAAGTGAAGTGAACAAAACCCTCCTCCTTCATAACCAGGTGTCCTCATCTGACCTGTGTGCTGGATGCTTTCAAAAGAAAAAAATCCCAGACACCTTGTGACTTGCATGCTTCTGATTTTATTTAATTATAAGTTATCTTTAGCAACAGATGTAGCCATTGTGTGCACCTTGTTTTTCATTTTAGGCCTATTGGTTTAAATTTGGCTGCATCCACAAGAAGGTCCTGTCTGGTGGACGACAAGTATAGATTTGATATATAGTGTATTGATTTTAATAGAAATAGAAAATACAAAGGCCTGACGTGTCCTCCCTCCTTCAGGTGCTGTTCTCCCGATTTGCCTCTCCTCATGTCAACATACACCTGGACTCGAGACCCGTCTCCTCCAGCGTGGCACTGCTGGACGACAACCACTCAGAAGGAGCCATGCTAATGGCCACAGGGAACAAGGTGGGCTCAGAACCGCAGAGATGAAGGACACAAATACATCCCTGAGTCTCTTTTTGGTGTGAATTCTGATGTTAAACATTCAGTTTGGACTCTGTTCTGTGTTCATCACTAAAAACTTTGCACCAAAACAAGTTCTTGCTAAAACAGAAATGCTTGCAGAAGGCAAATAACACGAGAGTGAACAGGGAGCAGAGCCAAATGATAAAGGAGAATATTGTTCCTAAAGGCTTACAGTCACGGCTCTGCATCCATTTCTGTCTGAGGGGAAAAACACACACATCACTATGTGAATTTGAAGGAGCTGTGTGTTTGTCTTCCTCTCACTATTTCAAGTGTATAAAGAACCAAGTGGGACTATGGTCTGTTTCTGTTTCTGCCTTTTTGTCCTTAATTCTGACCTCCTTTCTAGATCACCAAGGTGCCCTTGATAGGCCCCGGCTGTGGTCAGCTGACCACCTGCACTTCCTGTTTGCTGTCATCCAGGGTGACTGATTGTGGCTGGTGTGATGGCCGCTGCACCAGAGCCAACCAGTGTCCCTCCTCCATCTGGACACAACAGCACTGTACACCTGTCATTACCAAGGTAATCACGAGGACTGGTCTCCACGGTGACGGTCAAGACAGGAAGGTCACAGTTTCTAATTCACTCACCAGTGTCCACCCACCGAGCCGAGTAGATTTTAGAAAATAAAAACATGACGGCAGAGTGAGAACTTTTAAACCCTGTTTTCTAGTCCTGTGTTTAAACTTATCAGTTCTTCATTGTTCAGTCCGCTGCTGTTTCAACACTGTGCAAATAACCTGAACCTGAAAGCAAACTTTAGTGACTCTGCAGCTTCCTGCTGACTCAGTTTGCTGGAAGACCTCTCGTGTTGTCACGTCTCTCTCTCTCTCTCTCCTTCCATAAAAGCAGCCCTGTATAATCTGTGTGTTGAACTGATCTGTATGTTAGCGCTGTCTGTCTCTGCCGCAGTGTGACATCAGTGAAGGTCACAGTCTCCTTTTCTTTTTCTTTTTTCTTTTTTTTTTTAAAGCAGCTCTGTCCTATTTAACACCTCTCTGACATTGTGAGGCTTTACTCCCCCCCCCCCCCCCCCCCCCCCCCTCGCTGCTCCACTGTCTCCTTTGAAGAAAACCCAACAACAGGTTAATGGGGCAAAAACCTGTAAAAACAACTCTTTGTCTGGGACTACCTTAACTCACTTGGCTTTACTTCACTAACTTACTCAACATTTGGATGTTATCGCTGGAGTATCTGACATCTAGTGTCAGGGCGCCCTTGCACTTCATCCACATCACTTATCTGCAGTGTTGTTTGATACAGAGTGATTTCAAAGCATAACATTGCTTTCTCAGAGCACATCTATTTATTTATTTATTTATTTTTCTTTTTGAAGAAATAATAAACCGTCCTGCAGCTCGGGCGTGTTGCAGATGCTTCATACACACAGAGGGCTAAACTATTAGCAACCTAGCCACTCATCACCTGCTCTCATGGTGAATCTACCTACACGATCCATCAGTACAACACATCGCTTCGTCTCTGAAAAGACCTTTGATTGGTCAAATTCTCCCTTCACAAAATCACAAAAGGTGATTATGGAATTGTTGCTCATTGACGCCCACCCCAGCTTTAATTACCGTAAGCAAATGAGACCCTTACTCATTAGCTCTGTTCAGTATTTAATCATCTATCATATGTTTTTTTCCGGAGGGTTTGCAAAGAGCAGAAAAAGACGTCGTGTTGCTTTACAGCACAAAGTGACATTGATTTCTAGAGAGCACTGAGACATTAGCTTTAATTCGTTCCTTGTTTACATGCGTTAGGTGTTTCCCGCCTCTGGGCCAATTCGAGGTTCTACAACGGTGACGATTTGCGGACGCAACTTTGGCTTCGACAAGACGGAGAGCTTCAAGGCGTCGCTGGTGTCTGTGGAGGTGGCGGGAGCTCACTGCAAACTGCCCCGACAGGACAACGCAAACAGGTGTGTGTGTGTGTGTGTGTTCATATTTTACACATCTCGCTTGCATATCTTGTGCATGCATTGTGAAAACAACACTGCTCCTGCGCCGTATCTGAAAGGCCACCTTTGAGAGGCAGAGAGAGAGACAGTGTGCACTAAGTGGTGGGTGTTTACGAGATAAAGGGACGCGTACACTGGCGTCCTATAGGGGCTGAGCAGGTTTTAATAGGGGTTATTGTGTTGGAGGAAGAATGTTAAGAACCCCCCACCCCACCCCACCCCATCCCCCTCCACCCCCCCTCTTTCTTTTCTCCAGCAGCGTGCCACATTCAACACATGACTCCCCTAACTGAAAAATTGCTGGGAAAAATCGCTGCATCCAGACTTTTCCGCTCTCCCAAATCCACTGAGGCCTCGTCCCATTCAAAAGCCCCTTTTGCTACAAACAACCTCATTACAAGTGACGGGGAGAGAAAAAAAAAAGAACACCACCCACCCAGTCCCACATGAAGACGACCTCTTTGTGCGTTCCTGCAGGGCAGAGGATGATCATTGAATTAGGATAAACGCTGGGTGGCTGGGACGAGGGTATAATGCCTGGTTCTGTATGTTGTGTTTAGGTGGACTGAAATGCAGTGTTCCCCAGTATTCAGTGGGAACTTCACCCCGTCGGGTCACACGGTGAAGGTCACCACTGGCAACAAGGTAGCCAAGATGGAGGGCTTCACCTTTGTGGTAAGAAATGAGTTTTGTTTTTGTTTGTTTTTTTTTTTTTTTGTTCCTTTCATGTTGGTTTGCACTTGCAAAACACTTAAGTATAAGGAGTCTCGCCGGCCGCGTCACCAGAACCGGAGATCCACGAAATCATCCCGACATTTGGGCCGAATCGCGGAAACACCATGCTGACCATCAGAGGAGTCTTCCTGGACACTGAAACAAGCAGGAGTGACAGTTGGGAAAGCAGCACCTGTAAAATCCAGATGGCAGTTCACACCAGCGTTCATCTTCTCTCCATCTCTCCTCCCTGTCCCTTCAAAGCCAAAATAAAGCTTGCATGTCAGTGGCAGATACATTTTCTGCACTTCCTCTTGTCCTTCTTAGGAGTTGGCATGGGTGCCGGGTACATATGTCGTGTAAAAAATTTAGCTTATGAACCAGGAGAAGAGTTAAAAAGTTGGAGGATTTTTCTTTCATTCAATCGTCCTTTTCATATTTTCTCTACTTTTTTCCTTATTCTTCTCTTCTTCCCTTCTCAAGCAGGACTTCAGATCTGCAGGATTAATGCCGGAATAGGGGGGGGGGGGAGCTTGGACAATTGCCTGCCAACATCGTATCATACTAACACAGACAATATATCCTGTGTGATGTGTCGCTCGTCTCCTTCACCCCCCCTCCTCCCCTCCCCTCACACCATTAGCTTGTTCGTCCACCACTTGCTGGACACATTGGCAAAACGCCTCCGTCACGCTTTCCTCGGTAGCAGCCTGTAGAGCTGAGCGGTGAAAGACTACGGTAGGAGCTCCGACGCCGTGCTCTTCCCTACAACCAAGTACCCATCAATATCATAGCAGCATCAGTCCCTCCAATATGGCATGTATTGATCGTGCTTAATACTCTCGTCAGGTTAGACCTCCGCTCATGTTCACGAGATGGTTTGCGTATCACTTCTTTGGTCACTTGTCAGCTCAATTTTATTCGCGCCCAAGATCATGAGCTGTTTGCGTTGTTTCTTCAACCTGACGGAGATGAACAAGCGCCGGGGAAGATATTCCAGTTAGATATAAATGTGATGAATGAGACAATTACTGTCATTTAGTTTTACAGCAGGAGGAAACGAGTGGGAGGTTGACGAAGTGGCCTAAACTGCTAACGCAACGCGCAGTCTCCCTAGTGCGGGATCTTACTGTGTCTCTCTAGTTCTCATTGGTAAGGCTAATATCCGTTGCTCACCTCCCCCTCTCTCTGCAGGCGGTAGGCTGCACGGTGGTCAGGCTCACGGCTGTCGTTCCTCAATTTCCGCGTCAGCCCCAGTATTGGTCCTCACCACAGGGCAGGATGCTGAATCTTCCATGTGGGTGCTACGACACGGTTTTTATATCCTATCATATAATTTTGTTATTTTTCATTATTGAATCGGACAAAAAGGTTGTTGATAACGTTTGCGTGATTAAGTTATAGTTGATCCTGTCTGAGAAAACATTCCCCTTCGGCGAAAGGACTTTTCCTGAAAACTCGGGAATTAGTTTTGGTCGCTTTCCTCACACAATTGCTGACAGCTTGTGCAGGTTTTAGCTCCTGCCTCCAAAGAGCGTGCCCTCTGACGTAATGTACGTCCATGTGTTTTTAACCGGATAGACCCTGCAGATGCTGTGTCAAGCCATCATTGCAAAAAAAACGTATCCAAAGTTACACCAAAGGTGCTGAAATTTCTGTAAACTGCTCACTTGTGAGAAAGTGGTCTTTCCTGTCTGTCTTTCTGTCCATCTGTCCAGACCTGTTCAAACAGTACTTGACTATTATAAATGAAAACACTGTTTTTATTTCTTTTGTGCTTTTCAGCGATGCAGGAGAATGATATATAACAACCCAAGTGCCAAAGGAAAATTTGGTTCCTGGTTTGTTCTGAAATTAAACTGCTGGACTCCGCTATAATATCTACAACGTAGAATTTTTCATAAAATGTAAATATTGAGAGACTACATGCAGTCATACAAATAAAACATATATATTAAAAATTAGGAACACATTTCATTATAGTGACATGTGTTTTATGTATGTATTGCTTATATTGTGAACATATGTCACACTAACATATATAAATCTCTCTCT